ATACACTAGGGCGTCCGTAGTGTAGGATAAGCACTGGTAAAAGGTATCAAGAATAGAGTGTCTTGAGGAAATAGCCGGTGTATGGTTATAGCAAGCCTGGGGGGTAAATTTACCACCCGCTTATGCATGCATTAGGTTAGAAATAGGGGTAGACAACTTGTAACGGTGAAGTACAAGTCCTATGCAGCAAGCAGCAGCCAGCAGCAGCAGCAGCCGCCTGCAGCCAGCAGCCAGCAGCAACCACCAACCAGCAGCCAGCCAGCAGCACCACGCAGCAGCAGCGCAGCATCAAGCCGCAGCAGCAGCAGCACCACCGGCAGCAAGCACCACCGGCAGCAAGCAGCAAGCAGCAGTAGCAGCGGCGTCGTCAGCCGCAACAAGTAGCAAAGCAGCAGCTACAAAAGCGGCAACCAGCGGCAGCAGCAAACAGCAGCAGCAAGCAGCAGAGCGGCAGCAGCAGCAGCAGCAGCACCCTTTACACCAAGCCACCGTTTACACCCAACCAACCACGTTCAACCAACCCCCTACACGGCGCAGCTGGGAGTTGAACCGCGGGGGGGGGGGTTAGCTTGATATATCAATCTTTAAGGCACGCAGCCCCTCCCACCACAACATTGCTAAAGCAAAGAAGAACTCAGCTAGCATGCTAGCTTTCGTGATCTGCAAATATGCTTAATGGAGTACCGATTAATGATGATTAATGGAGTACCGTCCTACTAGAATGGGCTTCCAAACAGGTTCGTCCTGTGGTACAGCAAATCTTCTGCGTCCTCGCTGGCTCGCTGTGCCTCCTTCTTCGCTGTCTGCATGTCATGCTTTAGGATGGCCACCTCAGGTGTCGATGTCGACGCGCCGGGGCTTCTTGGATGTGAAATGCTTCGGGCCTTTTTTGTTTGGACGGTGGTTTCGAAGTCTTTTTTGATCCACATCCTCACATCCTCCCACAAGTTGGCATCTTGTGGCTACCAACAATACTACCAACATCTACCAAAAATACATTGTCCAAAATACAAACGTCCAAGAAGGCAATTTTCTTCTAGCACCCTGAGCCCGCAGCTTTTGCTGAGGCATTCACTGAGTCACAAGTGAAGCAGGGCGCTGGTCTGATACGCCAACATGATCCGACCGTCATTCTGTTCAGGCCAAGAGCTTAAGGGATCAGGCAAACTGAAAGGTGCCTTCCGAAGGTCGTAGCTCTTGAAGCTTTTCAAGCTGCTTGGCTCCATCGCCGCGTACGCGGAGGAACCCCCAAAGTTATCCAAGTCTTCATTCTCGGAGTCTGGCCATGATGAAAGGACCACCAACTTCACAGCAGAACGTACATTTCGAAGCAGGCTTAACGCATCCTTGATGTTTAAATGCTGAAACACGTACCGGACAAGCGCCACCTCATAACCCTTGGGAATGCTATCTTGGACTCCGTCCAGGACAGAGAATTCTAACACAGGTGCCACACTGCCGTTGTGTAGATTCTGCAAGTATTTGATGGGTTGCCATGCGATGTCCCCGCCCAGGTAGCGGAACTTGGGGGAAAGGTGTCCTTCCTCGACGCCCTTTTGCAATGCAAAGGGAATCCACTCTCCCCAACCACATCCAATGTCCATCATGGATTCCACGCGGTTTTGCGCCAAGAACTTCAGCAAATGCTCTGCCAGTGGCCCGGTAATCTCCACACTGGACCCTCCCCCGGAGCGGCCACGGCCCCAATGGCCATTGGCGTGGATCTCTTCGAAGGCCAAACGGCGAAAGCTGGGGAGTGCGCGCAGCCGGTCATGCAGGTCTTCCAGGTGTTGCTTCACGAGTGCCAAGCGATTTTGCAAGCCATTCCCACGACGTTTCAAACGATCCGCCCAAGCAGCGACCGCCAACAAACCAGATTCAAAGATCCACTGAACTTTCAACGCGTGCCGCGCCAAGCCCAACAAACCTGGCCTGGACAGCTCTGTTGAATGTGAGTGCTGGCCAGGAGGACTGCGGAATTGACCGGTGACGGACTCGGCCAGAAGTTCATGCTCGTGTTCCAAATTCACCACCTCTTCATCCGCAATGACCTTCAAGATGCCGTGCAAATCCGGGGCGCGAGAGAGTGCGCTCTGGGCACGGTTGAGGGGCACTTGGCACTTTTCGGCGCTGCGCAGCAAGAGCTGACTCAGGATTTCAACACGGCTGATATTCGGGGCCGCTGCAAATTGCCTGCGGCGCATTTGTCGGAGAATCTTTTGTGGCTGGCCAGTCTCCAGCCATTGAGACACCCAACTGGACAACTCTTCAAAGCCACGAATAAGCACTTCACAAGGGTTCGGACCATCAATGGCCCACAGTTGCGAAGTTCCAGAACACCAATCCAAGGTCTCCTTTTTTGAGAGATCACTCGCCTTCACCTCTTCCAGCATCTGCTCTGTCTGTTGCAGCAACTCCTGCAGCCTTGGGCCTAGGTGTCCTTTCACATCAAAGCCTTCACCCGCAAAGGTGGAACCTCGCACCAGCAAGCCACGGCCAGGATTGGCACGTCCAGAAGCCATATCTTGTAAATAAAGGAGAGCCAAAGCATACCGCGCACCGGCCGGTCGACGTTCACGCGCTTCAGCCAAGGATTGAAAGAGGCATTCAGAGAAGCCTGGAAGCCCACGCAGGAGGCCCAACAAAACTCCCGCCTGTTTCAAAACAATTTCAAGATTTACGGCAAAGTGATGTGCTTGAGCATCCATCTCTTTCTGCAAGTCTCTTAGATTGCTCTTCATGTCGGTAAAGTCTGTCTCGAAGGTCCTGTACAGCCCCTGTATGACAGTCAACACGGCTCCGATGTCTTGCAGAGATTCAGGTGCAATGGCTTGACGCAATAAAGCTTCACCGCTGGGCCACCGGCTCAAATTCACTTGAAGCCTTATCTCTGGAATGCTTGCAAAAGCCCAAACCTTCTCCTGCGAGTCGAAAAGGAGCTTTCGCAAACGTGACATCGAGTCATGAAGCCGCACTTCCAGATTCTCTCGCAAAGCAGCCTCAGCCATGAACAGCGATGCTTCCCAGCTTAGAAAGTGATGCAACGGTGCAGATCTCAAGGGCTCTACCACTTCAATCAATGGCTCGGCCGCAACAACTGCCAGCAGGGTTCCAAGACTCCGAAGAGCCATGCTGTCGGAAGCGATTTCGAACAGAGCGACTGGTTCTTGGTTTGACTGACAGGTTCACACTCACCAGCCATAAAATTGCCAGGGTGAAAGTGTGACAAAGAGTACTTTTTCTCAGTGCGTCCCTTTGCTGCAATAGACCGTTTTTCATCGTTTTTCTTAGAGATGATGAAGTTGTATAGTATAGTGATGTGTTTGGCTTTCCATGCTTGGGGATGCGGCTTGCCTGCATGAAGAATCTTGCGTACATTCCTTCCGGCTCGAATTCTACTCCAAGGTTTTCACGTTCAATCTCTCGATCGTATTCGATCGTAATATGCAGTATACACTTCACCTCATGAGCCTTGAGGCCTTGAGCCAAGAACAGTGTCATTGACAAATTTGTTCTACACATTGTGAACATGCCATGCAGGTCACCCAATCAACAACCAGCACAGAATTTGAAAGCCACTTGGAAGGCCGCTCAGAGTCGTATGCCTGTCCCTCTCTCTCTGTACTATTCCATACTATTCCAACCTCCAGCATACTGCCGGTCCATGGGGACTGTCTATGGGGAAGCGGCATCTCACACTGACACTGTTCCTGCTGCGGTTTCATAGTAGCCGAGTGTGTGATTTTCAGCGCTATGCACCAACACGCTAGGGTTCATGCAAGGTATCTCTCACCACTCCCAAGAATATTGAAAGTCAATGTTCATGCATGAAAAAAGCTGAACCAGCTCTGGGCACTCCACGTAGGAGCGGAGGATGTAACCGATAATCTGCCCGGTTTCGTCCTCCGTTCGCAGGTCCGATCGCAGTTGGGACGGTGATCACGGCTTGTGCCGTATGTAGGCCCTCACAGGAAGGATGCCTACTCACCGTCTCACACAGGGACTTAGGACGACATATCAGTTTCACCCAAATCAATAATAACCTGGCCAAATCGTGAAAAGCTACTTCAGTCTCAGAAGCAATGGGACGCTAGCTTACTCGATAGCTTATATATAATTATATAAAGGGGAGTCAAGCCGAATGTTCCGTTCAGGGTTGCTCAACCGTCTCATGTCCCTCAAAAGAATTGGCAATCAATCAATGAACATGGTGGAACGGTTACCCAGTGATGAACACAATAGTTCGTTCAATTGAATTGCAGGATCTCAACAGACCTTGACTTGAGTTTGACTCAACATACTTTAAAATGCTGACACTTTGCCAGGCATGCGTCACGCCAACCGGCTCAACGATCCCAGCATCTCAGGACGGTGCATTTGGAGAAAGTACGTCACATTGGATTCAACTGGTCACGTGCCAACCCTTCATGATTGATTCCTCAATTGCTGCACTGCACACTCCAACAGGTACACCTGAACAAGCCCAATCATCACTTATCACCGTGTCTCACACAGGACAGTCACAGCTGAACAACTTGGAGGACGCTATATTTACTGCAAGTTACCACCGCAGCCGGTAGAAGTCAGGATCGCTTATCCGGCGAATGGTGGAGCCCAAATCAACGTATCACATCACGGGACACCTATTGCGTAGTACATTTTTGCCACCAGAAACACTCCCCAAAGGTCTTCAGCGACAAATCATTGACTCAAAAGCAACGACTTCTCAATCTTCACACCTCAGCTTTTGCCTCCGACCGTTCATCCGAAAAGAGGCGAACTGGCCACCGGCCTGACCCTCGTGGCAAATCTGCTCGCCCTCCTCCACATGTACCATGGCCTCCGTTGTCCCGTCTCACGTTCCGTGCGGAACGACAGCCACAAAGATCACAGCACTTGCACAGAGCGAGGATCACTTCACTCGCTAAAAACACACATACGTATATGACCGTTTATGGAGATGACTTGGTTTTGGATAGCCGTCCAAATTGATAGGATGCTAACGGACGGCATGAATTACTTGGGAAATCTTGGGAATGACGATTTGCCCACATGACACCCGCCCTTTTTCTCTTCTGGAGGTTCCGTATGCTTCTCGACCCCACATGACACATCGCTCACATCAAATGCCGGGCATATGGCTCTGTGAGCCGAATCCACTTGGACCTTGGAATGACCAGCTTGTCCTCAAAACCTCCTCCGTTGAAGGCTCAAAACTGTCGCCTCATCAGCGTCCTTCACCGCTAAGAAGGTCTGTGCCTCTGGTGGGCAGCCATTCGTTGGAACACGACTTACATGACACATCCTGGAACCAGGGGACTTGAAAAGGGTCTTTGAATTCTTTCGGATTTCTCCAAACCCACAATGGCAATTGCAATCACCATCAAGAACAAGAACAAGAACAAAAGCAAAAGCAGCAACAACAACAACAACAGCAACAGCAACAGCAACAACAGCAACAGCAACAACAGCAACAGCAACAACAGCAACAACAGCAACAACAGCAACAACAAAAGCAACAACCACAACAAAAACAACAACCACAACCACCACCACCACCACAACCAAAAGAAGGGCCAATACTAATACCCCCTTAGTATGATAGGAATGAAGTTGTAAACTTACATAAGCTTATGCATCCATCCAGGTTGCTTCAGCCAAGACATTCGCAATCTACGACTCAAAAATAAGGAAACCCGTCGAAACATCTGATCCATTTCGTTGCACTTTGCTTTCACAGTCTTCATTGGCTTTTGCCATGTAAGCGATAAAGTTCCCGCGGGTGCGTCCAGGTGGCATGAGTAACAAACAGCTTAAGTATGCTGTTTGTTCATACAATGACAATTGACGTGGCTTGCAAACACAGTCTTTGTTGCCAAATGTCTGGATGAAAGTATGCCAAATGCATCCGAACATACACTTTTGTTGGCCTTTCAGAAGCTGGTTACGATCGAAGCTAATGAAGGTCTCTTCACGTTTGCCCCGTGACACCGTGCGGTTGATCCTGGGGACGTGAAAGGGCCCTTGGTCCAAACGTTCAGCCATCGGAAACGAGTGTGTTGTGTGAAACAGGATTTGAATCGATTTGATGCATTTTACCAAATCGAACACTCACAACTTGATTTCAGAGTGGCACAAACCCAACTTGACTAGGCGAGGATTGATCCAAAGCCCTAAAAGAGAACTGCGACTGTAGAGAGCCCCCCATTAATCTCTGATTCCAGTTCTTTCTGGCATCAACGGATCCCGAAAGGCTCCTCAAATCGGACAAGACCGCTCCCTCGGCCGCCGGACCAACAAAAAGGCGATCGGCGCCAACAAGGCTTTGGATCGTTCGGACTTCTCCTCCTCGTAGACCAAATGCCTCGTAGATCGTTCGGAGAGTCCGCGACGGTTTTCGGGTAGATCCAGGGGTGACGGGTTTCGGGGAGATCTAGGTCCAATTTGGAGCTGTCAAGTGAATGGCTGTTGAGATCCGTCAGCATGTCAGCATGTTGCTGTTGGGTGTGAACAGCCAGCTAAGGCACTCGGGTTTGCTATTGCCTTCAAACTTCATTGCGGTAGACCCATAAGATCCCATAAGGATCATAAGGAACCTGCCCTAAGCTGCGGATCCCTTCACCACGACACATTATGCAACATGTGCAATCAAAAGACTGTGAACGCTGCATAAAATCGAGAATCAAGACCATTCAATAAAACCATGCTTTTGGACAGTATCCTAGTTCACACGTCATCCAGCATGGAAACGCTGTGATGTTTCGACTTCCTGGTTCACCCCCTTTTTTCAGTTATTTACTGTTTATTCGATTTTATTTATACACTGATCTATATGTTAAAACATTTTATTATCAATGTATATATACTGTACTGACACTGTACTGTTTATCAAATAAAACATATTAAAAACACGTCTCGACTTCGGCAGCAAGGCCCCGGCGCGGCATCCCGAGCTCGCCAGCCAGCCTAACGTCGAACACGCCCAAAACACCACTCAAGTCACACGAAGAAAAACGATGAAAAACGATGGTGTCCTTGGCATATGGCTCATGGTTCGCTGCAAGTTGGAGCGATGTGGAAGGCGCACACATGTGGAGACTTGGACGTGCCGTTCCGAATGCCCATGGGTGCAAGCCCGTATCTCCGTATCTCCAGTCCGAAACCTGGGTCTGACGAGGCTCCAGGCAAGTTCTGAGGCTGAGTGCCATTGCTCCAGGTGTTTGGTCAGTCAAGTCATCGTGAGTGACGGTGACCGGCATCTTTTTTCCGACTGACCCACCTGGACCGTCTCTTCGATCATCTGGAAGTCTGGCTCCTGGCTGTGTGGGGACACACGGAGGTGGGTCTGACATCACCTGACACCGTCTTCGCTCCACGAGACCGATGGAGAACATGCATAACCCAGACACTCCATGTATGCCTACATTGACCTCCAAAACCACTTTATATGGCACACATGGAGCGTTTGGGTCATGTTTCTACATGATTTCTTTCGTTTTCTCGGAACGGCTGGATGCATCCACGCCTTGGCACCCAAAGGTCCCAGAAAAAGCGCAACCCAACATGCAACAGTACACACACAAAGGAGAGTTTGGGCATCAAGTTGAACACACACACACACACAATATCATGGGCCAAATTGATTAGTATAGACAATTATAGGCGGCATATGCTGCCAACTTAAAGGGATATTTAACCAGCATGTTCAAACATGTTCAAACCAATGTGCCCAGTTAGCCGACTTGCCTTGTCCGCCCCACCGACTCATGTCTCACCCTGCCCCTCTTCGGTGCAGGCGCTGGGAACGCCCAGTGTCCGGCGCGGGGGCCCTCGCCTCTCGGGGTGCCTTGGAGATCTCCGCCACCATGTTCGAGAGGTGGATCTGCGCCTCACGGCAGAACGAACCAACATTGCGGGGGGGGAACTCGTGACCGGCACGTAGCCGGGATTGGGGTCCCACGTTTGACCGTCGTCCTCCCTCTGGATCAAATAAGTCCGTGTGAGTTTTCGGAAGGGTCTAATGGCTCAACATAAATATACAAACGGGCTGAGCCCGTTTAATTGCCAGGCAACGACTGTGGAGAGCACCGCCGCAATGTTGGACTTGTCGATGGTTTCCTGCAGCGGCCAGGACATCTTCTCCACAGAATTCGTGGGTGTCCACCGAATTCCGCATCAAAATACGCAATCGACTACCACGTAGGGCCGTAGGAGTGGCATGGAGTTGCCAT